GATAGTTCGTTCTTATACATTTTTAATAATACAAAAAAATCATGTTGTAAATAAACAGTCCCGAAGACCACTGTCGAAGACATCCTTTACGCTAAATTTTATCTACAACATCATGCTTGTGTAATGCTGCACTAGATCTTTCTTAATAGCTTTTATGTAAATACAATATACATTTCAGAATGTGAACTTGAAGGATATGTACATTATACTAAGGATCTCTGCCTGAAGTTAGTTTCAACATCAGGATTAACATGGACGAGTGCAAAACCAGTATGTTTGAATGAAGGTGCAGAATTAGTCAGTATACCAACGTTGGAAAAAATGGAATTGATGCTGAATTTCTTGAAAGGTAATTAATATATTAAAGACGAGTGCTTTTATAGATATATTACAAATAGTTTATCTGTTCCTACACGACGGGGACCTCAAACATTGGTCCTAGGCGTTAATATTAGTATATTGTAATATCAATTGTCTTAATTACCTTTTTCTCCCTAAAACGTTGTTTGTTTCTGATGTTAACAATCAGTTTTGGAGGGTCAATCTACCCATTACCAACCATTCTCTTTGCTGCCATGTATGTTTTCCTTTTATTGTTTCAGGGTAAATCAGATCTTCTTTTTTTTTCTTTTCAATGTTTCACAATTTGTCAATCCGGATTTTTTTTTAAAGCTTACTTAACTGTTTGGGTTTTGCTCATTGTTGAATCAAATACGTTGACAACTGCTTATATCCAGGTTTTTTTTGGTGTCTTGTGGATATTTTTTTCAAGCGTACTTTAAAACTGTATGGGTTTTGCTCATTGTTGGAATTCAATACGTTGACTAATGCTTATATGTAGGGTTTCTTTTTTCTCTTGTGGATAAGTGTCTAGTGTCGATCATATCCCTTTCCTAACAAATAAAATTTTAATTCATTGAAAAATAATTTTCTACATCCTAAAAGCATAATCGTGAAAATGTTTTACATACAGCAAAATTGTAACATAATACTAGGATTTTAATTAGTAAAGGAGAGTTTGTCTTCTGCATTTGTGCTATATTGTACAAAATTTATTTTAGGTATAAACACCTCGATATGGATTGGTCTTCGGTCAAAAACATGGATGACAGGGGATACCTTTCAAAATATATATGACATGAATGTTCAACTGAATGACTATGATGGCGGATATCCCACGGATAGTGACGCCTCGTGTGGTGTTATGTCAACCAGTTCTCTATATGATGAAAGTTGTAATATTCGGAAGAGAAACTCTTTTGTTTGCGAAATTGTACTTTAAGTGTAACAAACATTTTATTTCAAAAGTTTGTTTCTTTATTCAAATGAGCTTGACATTTTTTTCAATTGTTATCTTCGTATTTGGAAAATATGGTGATATTTCATTATGGATATAAAATTTGTACATAACTGTTTCAGAAACATATATAAATTGTATAACTATATCAGTTTAAAACATAAATTCGTATAACTATATCAGTTTGAAACATAAATTCGTATAACTATATCAGATAGAAACGGGGTTGGCAAAGTATTAACCGCCCGGGAAAACCCTGGTGGGAAAACCCGGGTTTTACCGGGCAGGGCAATACTCCCGGAAATGGGTTATACTGGGCAATACTGGTCAATATGATTTTTTAAGCTTATTTCAACCCAAATTAGTAAAGTCTTGTTGTAGTTTCATAGTTTTAAAGCTGAAAATATACAGATAACCATTGAGAGTCATTTCTAGAAGATTGAAAATCCAATTTCATTTTCTTCTCCACTAATCTTATGTAGACAGAATATAAGATTTGCACATTTTAGGATACTTTGTTAATTTCCAAGCATACTTTCTATAATCTAAATTTGAATAAAAAGGAATTGCATTGCAGTGTTTAAGTGAATTGTAAATTTAAAAGGTTATACAATCATATTGCTAAAAAACATCCTACAGGGTCATGTCTTTAACACTTATAGAAATTAAAAGGCTGATTATCAATATATATAAACATATCTGTGTTCTAATCTGGATTATTAGTGATGTACATATAAATTATTTAAAAAAAATTACATAAAATTGTTTATTCTTTGTATAAGTTATATATACATGTTTATTTGAAAAAAATGAATTCTTTGGCTTTATGCTATTACAGTTTGAATAATCCAGAAAGAAGGGTGATTTTAAGATTCTCGGACAATTATTGAGGAAGGCTTTTTCCATAAATATTTGTATAATGTGTCTTCGTGTACACTTGTCTCAGAGTTGCTGGAATAAGACTTTCTTCAATGTATACACTTGTAAATTATAAGACTCTCAAGCAAGTAAACGTATTAATAAATCAAAATATGTTTTTAAATATCTTAATTGTATTGTATTTGTGTTTAATCACTGAATCCTCTTTAAAATTCAAGCGAATATTTTATATTACCCAGTATTGCCAAGTATTACCCGGTAAAACCCAGTAAAACCCGGGTTTTCCAAGTATTTCCCATTGGGCTGTGCAATACTCATAAAACCCGAGTTTTTGCCAACCCTGGTTGGAAACATAAAGTCGTATAACTATATCGGTTGGAAACATGCATTCGTATAACTATATCAGTTTGAAACAAATTCGTATAACTATATCAGTTGGAAACAGTATGCAAGATGGTTTACGAGTTATAACCTGTATGTATCTTTTTTTTCTAGTATGGGTCTATTTTGACCCTTGTGGTGGTCATTTCTTCTTGAAACTGTAAATTAGTTGAGGATCATCCCAGTATCGATCATGTATAGTACATTTCGTTTAAACGTTCGAAGTTGTTACTTAGAAGGTGTCTAATATGAGAGTTGTTATCCATTCGTTTGATGTGTTTGAGCTTTTGTTTTTGCCATTTGTTTAGGGACTTTCCGTTTTGAACTTTTCTCGGAGTTCGGTATTTTTGTTAATATTTTACCTTTTTTTATAGTTCAAAGTGATGATAATACCTGGCATGCACAGGGGGCTAGCCGAGCAAGACAGTACACTTCTGTTGTATTACACAATATATTTTACTTTCTTTGAAAATATCTTCTTCTTGGATTCTCCAAAGACGGGTTGAAGTCGTATAAAAAAAAATACTAGTATGAAATAATTTTGATAACAAGGTAATTCCAGGCATATTTATTTGTTTATGATTCTTAATTTAGGAAAATAAATTATGACAAATAGTGTAAACTAAAAGAGAATATGAACTATGATTCTGTAGTATTTGAAATGAAAAAGGTATTGCAGAGATGTTCTTGTTTCAAGGTTTTTGTTATGCGGATAAAAATATAAATGAAACATGTGTATGAAGCAGTTTTGTTGTGGTTTAAAAACTAAGAGCGATAATCTGGTAATTAAAATTCATATAAATTAAGAAATAAACGAATGAATGATAAAAGTTGAACAATGAAAGATAATTTTAGAAACTGACTAGGCCTTGTTAGTATCGTCCGTATGTATAGATGAAGGACCAGTGGTTCTCAAGACTCTCCAGTAAGCAGCACTGATGATTAAAACAGTATTACAAAACCATCAAACATCATAATGCAGGTAGCAATGTTCGATATATTTCAATGTGCTTTTTTTCATTTGGTTATCTTGATAAAAATGTTTGATTCAAATGTAAGTAAAATTTTTAATCTCCCTTTACTTATGTTCCGTGGATGCTGCTTCAATAATTTCTTGTGCTGACAGTTTCAGTATTCTTACCTTACAGTTCATATGCAATACAGGTTGTCCATGTTGTTTGTTTATGAAACTCAATTTCACGAACAATACATTTGCATAACAATGAAATGAGCTCAACGCAAAGCACTTTAAAAATTAATAAAATACACTTAGACAGAGAGCTCAATCCAGTGATATACTTTAACATACAGGCTCTTCAGTAACATCGCTGACAAATATGCCAAACTACATGGATCAGAGGTCCTGAAAATAAACATGTCAATAACCTATATTACATGTAAATACAATGTATATGAACATAAAACTTATAAAAATAGTCAATAAATAGCAAGTAGATGTTGCTACATGCACAAATAAATAAATACCCCTCTCTTGAAATATTCTGTGTAAGCAGGGTCATTGTTATGGTCTTCCTATTAATCATGTTTATGCAAGGAATAACAAATCGAGCAAAAAAACAAAAACATGCCTACAAACATGTTGATATATTGGTTCCCTTTCTTTTCAATTTACGCATGCGCATAAAATGCAGCAGAGACGTATGTTATATGAGCAAAAAGTAACAAAATTCTATTTCTAAAGACTTATGTATCAGTGTATGTTTTTTATATGTAAAAATGTCTTACAATCTAAGTTTACCAAACATAATTCTCAGTTTGACATGGCCGAGGACCGGCTAATACTCCTGTGGTATTATATTGGTAATGTGTCTTTCCATTCTAAGTACATTAAATATGTATGGAAGAACTATTTATAACAAAAACATTTATTTTTTTAATGGGTTGGAAAAATTACAGTTTAATATAGCCCCCCCTCCCCTCCCCTTCCATTTTGAATCATTGTAATAAACAATAATAATTATAATTCATCAAATGAGTGATCAGTAGCTTTAAGAGCATGCTACATAGCATATTAGGACATATAAGGACATCTAAAATAAAAAAAAAATTGAAATATTAGTTTTTTAGGCCCAAATTTTGATAATTTGAATGTAAAGAATAGAGAAAAATAGCCTAAAAAATTAGAAAATGCAGAAATGAAATTCCCATCCAGACCCTCATATAAGCTATTATTCTGGCAAGTTGTAAAACATTCATTTTTGCTATTTTCCCGCTTATCGTAAGAATAGCCACAGCCTTGTAGTATTAAAGCTTTGAACGTTTCGTCTGTATATGCACTTAGTTTATTCGTTTGTTTGTTGCAGAAGTATACTGTTTTATAAATAATATATATATTTATGTTGTAAAGTGTTTATTATCCTCTCCTTATAATGAAAAGATCGCACATTTTTTACTCTGGTTCTACTCCATAACTAACTGATATTCATCCCTTTATCACGTTTATATTAGGAGTATCTCTGTGTATATCTGCAGTTTATATGATTACATAATTATATCAATGAAGCATTTTTAAAGAGCATATTAAGATCACAAAACAACATGCATGCCTAGTCCTGAAAATGCATGAAATATTTGCCACTGGACGTTAAGCAACCAAAAATCAATCAATCATGCATGCCAATGATATTCATTAACAATGGTGTTATAATAGTGAACATTCGTATAAATAAAGTTCATTTTGAAATAACATTCTTTATTTATTTTCCAGGAACATGAGAGGGATTACAAGCCTTTTGGGATGTGGGATATAGGGAGTGTCAAAAGTGGGGATGTGGGATATTGGGGTAAAAAGGTTAAAAGGCCAAACAAAGTACGAAGTTGAAGAGATTGAGGACCAAAAATTCCGAAAGGTGTTGCCAATAACAACTAAGGTAATCTTTTCTTGGGGGTAGAAAATCCTTAGAATTTCGGAAAATTCATATGGTCATTTGACTGTAAGAAGATAGCATCATTTAAGGATTTTCTTTAATAACACTAAATATTTTTTATTCGTGGGGCCAGAACACCTATCACGCGCATGACATTATTATTGACTAGACAATAAAAACCACTGTGGTCAAGTAAGCAGCACAATGGACATTTGTTTGGTAAAACAAACCAATTAAAGTTTAATTTCAAATGTGAAATAACGAGTTCAAAATAATAATATTAAAAAAAACATGGTTAATTGATATTTTTTGTTACACACTCAGTTTAATGTGCAAATAAATATAATGTTGCTTCATGGTAGTTATTTGTAAATATGTGTTTTCCCTTCTGTTTCCATATTCATTGTTTCCAAAGATACTATAACTATGTACTTGGTAATTAAGATAATTAGTAGTATGCATTCTATAGGTTTTTTTTACATTAGGAATCAATAATTAAGCTACTTAAAGTTTTCAAAATATACATGAAATGTGGATATATTGCAATTATAGTACTGTTATAGTCAAGTCGGTATTCCCAAGGACGTGTAACTAACAACTCTAATATACGTCCTTGGTATTCCGGACCATTTCGTTCCTGGCCTTATAGTCCAATTTTAAATTACAAACTCGTGTTTTCAAATGTTAGTAGATTGATTGCATTTTTCGGCCATGAATTAAATGTTCACAGCGACAGTTGTTTGCATGATTTCAGTTTGTTTACAAAACGATTGCTTCTTTCAAATTGACTATAGGGCCTTTTTTACATTGATTTGTATTATACCCAAAGTTGGTGTTACTTTGTAACAAGCATTTGTTCATTGTTGCATACGTTTCATAACAGTACATAATGGTCCAAGTAATATGTAAAAAAAATTGTATATTATAACAAACGGCAACATGACCGGGTCTTTCAGTAAAATCTATGGTATAATTTACGCAACACCGAAAAACTATTCAAGTATATGATATATCTATAGCTTATATTTGAAAAATAGCTGAAATTAAAGTATAACATATACGCATCTTAATAACCGAAGAAATTATAGGATGCAGCTCTTAGTATTTTTGTATTTATATTTATCATTACGATAACAATATTAGGTTGATTTTGCAGAAATAGGAAAGCTTCATTTGATATTTGTGATTCGTTTTCTTTTAAGCAATATTGCTTCATATATTAGTATATGGAATGAAATGTAATGATCTGTATAAGACAAAGAAATATATGTAGCTTGATAATTATATAAACATTTCATATATCATTTCGATGTAAAAATGTTTTACAAAATCATAGTATATTGTGTTCTGTGTGTAAATACCATGCTGTCTATCAAGGGCCCTTAATTGGAAAAATAAATATATTCTTATTCTTTATTCTTCTTAGTTTTATATGTTTATATATATCTTATGTATAGGTTTGATTGTAAAATTATGTAAAGCGGTTTCACTTGATAAAACATTATTTTAGTCTAATACTGATAAAATGATTAAATTATAAAAAAAAAAGATTTATGTACTTTGATTTGATTTATTTTCGAAATTCCATTTAAAACAAGTGAGACTGCTAATATATTGTGTGCTATATTTTTCAACATTTTAGCTTACCTTTTTTTTAATAAACGTCCATATACACTGCAACTGTCTTTCTGCCTTAAACAAGGAGTTAACAGTAATCAGTCAGGTCAAAGGAGTCAGTACCACAAAGGCATATCCAGTTGTTGGGTACAACGGTCAATGTGTATTTGAAGTTTGGTTGATTGGAAGTTCTGAATTTGCTATGAGGAGTACAACGTTTTTGATAAAAAAAAACCAGCATATTTCATGTTATTTTCTATGATATTCTATGAGAGTACTTATTTTATCATCTACGTACAGTGTTCCACTGATAAGTTCCTATTTATTTATGTGTAACATAATTTTTACAATCCATAGTACACAGCTTGTCGTATTCATTTCTAATCAATCATCTATAATATTCTGGTCAGCAGACAAATTCCTGCCGTCAAGACAAATACACGAGCATTTTACTTAACTATTGATCAATAAATTTTCAAGAAACTTTAAGTATCTATTTCATAAAGAAATAAATCATATGCAAAGTGATGAACGCTAAACATTGTTGACTAAAAATGCTACTTTTAAAAATTGAAAGATAGTAGTAGTCCTATTTTTTTTTAATTACTAAATGTCTTTTGATCACAGGATGTTAACCTTAAAGAAATATCAATTTAATTTGAAGAACATTTTTTTTTCGTTGGATTTTTTAGCAGTAAAATAATAAACGGGTTCAACATCTTGCTAAGACTATTACGATAACCCTGTGATAGGTGCCGTTTTGAACTTGCTATAGGATGGAAGTTTTTGCTCCAAGTTGGACGCTTTGCTATGACTTTGCTTTAGTTTTTTTCTTGTATGACTATTGATTTTGTGTCAAGAATAGATATACCGTATCTGTTCTTTTCTATTCTTTTATGGTGTTTATTTAATTATTAAAACTAACAACTTGTTACTTGAATGATGCCATTTCAAAATTAATATATATATATATATATATATATATATATATATATATGCTCACAAGTAACATGGAGGCATCGTCAAAACCTTCCATTTAAACAATATGACAACATTAGAACTATTATCATTATGCTAGATTTATTTAAATCTCCCCTAAAGTAAATTACAGAATAAAGGGATTTAAATTTTAGTTCTATATTTGGCCTGAATTGGTTTGAATATCACCTGGCGGAATAGGCCAGTGAGAGCATTCACCATCACTTGCCATTTGTCCATCGTCCGTGACATTTTACAAAATCATATCCTATAAAGGTACTTGGCCCATTTGAACAATCCTTGGTCAGAGTCATCTCAAGATCTACATACTGCCTTTTTTTATCAAAATTGCCAGACAACTTCATATATGTAGAGGAGTTGATGCCCTTTTTTTGTGTTTGCCTATTGTCTTGAAAAGTATGATAGATACCATGTGTAGAGAGAAAATCTATTGAGCAAAAAAAAATCTTAAAAAAAGATCTACAAATACGTCAAACAAGGCTTAAATCATCAGTCGACTCCATACATGAGTTATTTCCCTGAATTATCATGTATACGATTTTTGTTTTGCATATTTTCATGAAAACTATAAGAAAAAACATTAAACAGCAAAAAAATAAATGAACAGCAAGACACGACCAACAAATAGCTGAAATTGCCAGTCGACTCCTACCCTGCTAACAGGTGTTTTTGCCCCTATATGTCGATTTTTACTCATTTTAAACAAAAACTAGACATAGTATAAATTTGAATAAATAGAAATTGTAAGCAGTTAAATTGATTAACAAATCTAGATCTTTGTAGATCCAGATTTGCTAATCATTTTTACTAAAGGTAACATAGCCAAATTTTCATTAGACTTCTTATAAAAGTTGTTGCTCTTAAATGATGTTTTATACCGTTTTTTTCTTCTTCATTTTTTGCGAAAAACTATAGTAGATAACAGCTTGCATAGATGAAATTGTCAGTCAACTACTTATAGAAGTTATTAGCCTTGAATAGGAATTTTACCTAATTTTTCCGTTTTGATCAAACAAAAACCATAGAAAATAGAGTGAAACTGTAAAAAAAAATGGTCGCAAGACAAGAACTAGAAATAAGTAAAAGTTTACGAAATTGTCAGGTCACTTCAAATTGAAATTATTTCCCTTAAGATTGTTTTGATTTTGTTTTCCGTTTTTGGCTATAACTAAGGTAGAAAGAAAGACATTCAAAATGGGAAAAAAATTTAAAAAACAAGACATTTAAGCCATGAATTATATTCTATTCTATAATGTACAATAATCAAGGTGACGACACAGGCTCTTCTAGAGCTTCTAGTTTAATGAACTTGCTGTTTGTTTTCTAACTTCATTTTATGGTGCAAATGAAAGGAGAATATTGTGTTTAATTCAGTCTTTAATTTCGAAAATTTAAATGAGTCAAGTCAGGATTTGTAAATACTATTTTGACAGCTTATTTTTTAAGCATACATTGTACTTTTTTCATGATAACGTAATAGAAAGATTGGGTTAGGAACGTTATTTATATTTGCATATTATGATCTATTATACCAGTTACTAACGGTTTATCTTGGCACTGTTTAAAAAACCTGGCCCGAATATTTTAGGCCATCTCCGTTATCAATCTCTCCTCCTTGCTAGGATATTCAGTGCGAAATCTAGTGCCAAAAAACTGCCCCCTTTGCAAACACTGAAAACTGAACTGGACATTTAATGCGAATTAATCGAGACAACCGTACATACATATTTTTCTCTATTTTCTTAATCTGAACAGACATAACTTTCAAATCGATATATTCACGCCATTTTTGCTTTTTAAAACCGTAAAAACACAGGATTGTTAGCTATCATTGGTACAAAGAAGATGTTTCTGTTGATTGATGCACCACTAGTTATTCTTCCATGATTTCTGTACGAGTGCGGTAATTATTTGATGCCACAAACAGTTTATAATAAAATATATAACAATTTACCTTGTATTTAGGTCCTCCCGGCATATGAGGAGCATGCTTTAACACCTCAATCATGCAATCTTCTATTTCCTGTCTTTTGCACTTGTGCAACTTAAAACATGCCCCTGAAATAAAAAATGATATTTTCATACAAGAGTACACACGCTAAAATGTCTCGCCTGCTTTACTGACCATTGACTTTATGACGAAAGTAAAAAAGACAAAGGTTGTACAACAAGTATCACATAAACTTAACATTTTTAACGATTCATGACAATAAGGTCAAGGTCAGATTAATCCTGTCAGACAGACATGTACACCTTACAATCATTCTATGCACCATATGTAGCTGACCTATTGCTTATGGTAATTAAAAACAGACCAAAACACAAAAACTTAACATTTACCAATGAACTATAAAAATGAGGTCAAAGTCAGATGATACCTGCCAGACTGACATGTACCCCTTACAATCATTCCATCCACAACATATAGTTGACCTACTGCTTATAGTATCTGAGAAACGGACCTAATCATGCAACTTTATCCTTGATCACTGATACATGAAATGAGGTCAAGGTCTGGTGAAAAACATAAATCCTTAAAGACCTTTTTTTTCTTCTCTTTTCATGTTTCATTCTGTCAGGTGGTTCAGGATACAAAAGCTGGATGGATGGAAGGGCCCACAATATACTGCCTACTTCAGAAAGGGGGAATAAACAAGTATTTTGATCTACACCCATAATATATTTGTATCTGGAACAGCCCTAATGTACTTACTTATAAGAACTCTGTACAAGTTATGGTCGTGAAAGACCTTTTTCCCCTTTTTTCCCCTCAAGCTGTACAAAGATAGTATATTGTTAGTCACTGTTTTCTTCAGAATATTTCTCACTGTTTCTAGACATGTCGCTCCTCCAAAAGCAATAAGGAAAGATGCCTATTAGGGAGAAAAAAGAGCAATTTTATTTATATGAGAATAAAAAGGGGAAAAAATATCTTTATTGAATACAAGGATGATCAAAGAAATGTTTCTTCAAACAACTCATATTACTGCTAAAGGAGATAGTTCTATACAAAAACAAACAAACATTAATTAACAATTTTAAGTACTGAGGTAGTATCATGAAGTTTTTTTACAAATTTATAAATTACCACAATATTTTATCATGCAAGACATATTATTCCCCAGTTTTTCTAAAAAAAATTACTGTCCTAATGTTATGTAGAAAAAGGATTCAAAATGGGAAATTGAAGCAAATTTCAAAAGGGGAATAATCTAATTATACCTTAAGATCAGTGGGTTCCAGTATTATTTCAAAAATTAATTAGGGGACATCCAATAAGGGATCATAAATTTATTCTTAAGAGAAAGCTCAGAGCTTTTCAAGATTGCTCTTTTCAGCAGTTCATGCAACACAAATTAAATCCATAGCACTTCTATCGATAAAAAAGTATTAAAAGCATTGTGGAGTTATCACAATTTATTTATTTTAATAGATAAGAAATATTTCAATATGACTGAGTTGTAAAAGCATACAAACTTTCATCAAAATCCAAAATATTGCCAAATAAAGAGTATTTTACCTAATACAATTAAAATAGTTCATTTTCAAATACAATGTATGAGGCTGGCGAAGAATTTTATAATTAAACTATATAGAGTTTTTTTTATTAGGCGATGTTCTAATCTTTTCTGATATAAATATTGTGTATGAATTTGACAGGAAATTATATAGAGACAATTTAATCAAAACAATTTATCCAACTTGCCAAAAGTAGTTTAATGCATGCAGAAGAAGTGAATTATTATAATTATACCAGTTTCTTAAAAATGAATTTAATATCAATAAAAGTATGACAGAAAATCTATCTCCATGTATATTTTTCCTTCAAAAAATTACTCTCTTACCAATTTCTTTCTGGACTGCTTCTCCTCCAATTTAATTCCCCATTGGATGAAATCCTCAAGGGAATTTACTGGAGAGGGAAGCAAGTCTTCTATTTCATCATCTACTGCTGCTCCGGAAATGAGGGCAAGCTCTGCCTGGATGTTTTCTTGATTCTTTACCACATGTTTAAGGGTGCTCAATACTATCCGTTCAAAACCTGGAGCAATATAATTTGTATTACTAAAAAGGTTAAAAGTTTTATCCAGCCAAGAAAAGCCCCAAGCCCCCCTCCCATGAAAAAATCAAAAAGAAAACAAGAATGTGTCCATAGTACACAGATGCCCCACTCGCACTATCATTTTCTATGTTCAGTGGACCGTGAAATTGGGGTAAAAAATCTAATTTGGCATTTAAATTAGAAAGATCATATCATAGGGAACATGTGTACTAAGTTTCAAGTTGATTGGACTTCAACTTCATCAAAAACTACCTTGACCAAAAACTTTAACCTGAAGCGGGACAGACAGACGAACGAACGGACGCACAGACCAGAAAACATAATGCCCCTACTACTATCGTAGGTGGGGCATAAAAAAGAAAAGAAAAAAGGAATGTTAGTCAGACTTGCCTGATATGGATTGTATAAACCAAATATTGAAAACTGCTATGAGAATAAGATGCCAAAAACAGTTGACTAGTTAACCTTATTAAGAATTTCTTATTTAACATATCAAAAAAACAACTTGTAAGAAATGCAGGGGCCTTGGTGGCCGAGTGGTCTAAGTAGTCGAACTACTGTATCACTAGCCTCTCAACACCGAGGTTGTGAGTTCCAATCCAGCACGTGGCAGGTGCGCTCGACTCCAATCTTAATTGACTAGGATTGTCAGTTTTCCTACCTTAGGTCGGTGGTTCTCTCCGGCTTCCTCCACCAATAAAAACTGACAGCCACGAAATAGCACAATAGTGCTGAAAGATGCGTTAAACACCAATCAATCAATCAATCAATGTAAGAAATGCAAACTTTCAAATTCAGTGGACATTGGGATAGGCAGGATAAATTCGATGTAAAGGAAATGCTACAAAGCTACTACAACTTTATACACATTATCACAGACTTATCATAAATAGAAGAAGACTTAGGCATAAAACTTAGGCCAAATCAACCAATACTGTATATAATATGTAGTTTTTAGAACTACCAATTAAGTATATTTTTGAGATAGAAACCATAATTTTACACGGATGAATGTTCATTAAATTTCTATATTCATGTGTGGGGCAGAAAAAAAGTATCTGACCATAAGTTATGTATTTTCTAACTAATTATAAACTGTTCATTAATGAACTTAATTGTGTCATTTCACAAAATTGTTGTGACACTATTCCTTAGATGAATTTGAATAAAACATATAACAAATATTTGAACTATATTACTTTTCAAGGCTGTTTTTTTTGCAGAAATTACCTGCATTTCTTTCAATATTACTTACTGCTTGTGTTTTCTGGTAAATTTAATCGACCTTCCTCTGGTAGATCTGGGAGTATGTGAATTTCTCTCCGTCTTTCTTTCCTTCCTATGACAGATATTAACATTTTAAGATGAAATGCACCTTTTAAGTATTTTTTGGGTCAAATTAAAAACTTATAAACTAAAACTATAAAAAAAACCTACAATTTCAAGGCTTTATAAAAATACATGTGTTTCGATCAACTTGATCAACACAAATTTTTAGTACCTACCCAAGACTTTTTTCATTATGGAACAAGCAATATTAAAATCAGACTATTTCAACTGTAAAAACCATGCAATTAATATTTTTTAAAATCATTTGCCTGCCTGTGGACCCTCATTTTTATTCAGAATGTTTGTGGGAACACAGATATTACTTTTTTAATCTTTGTAGAACATATAGTAGGTGTTACTTATTTTGGTTTGTATAGAAGTGAAAGCAAGATATATTATCCCAACATTAACAAATAAAAAAATCCTTTTAAATAATTTGTTGATACAGAGATATGTTTCACTTGCATATAATTTATAGTAAAATGCAAATGTTGATATTAAAATGACAGTAATTTAACATGTAAAGTATGCAAAACACCATAAATCAATGAATCATGACTGATGGTTCAGGGCCAAATCATCTCCATGATTAATGTGTGCATCACTATATACCCACCCTCTTTAAGACAGGAGTATAATTACCATGCAACATAATATTCTTTATAAACATACTTTCTAAGTTTTCCAATGCATATCAACTTAACTATTTTAGCTGACTTCATAAGAATAAGCAGGATATTAAGGTAGATCGGGTGTCTTTTTCTGAGCATCCCTTCTGGGCATGTTGCAAAAATACTTTTTTGTTTAAAAAATAGTTTACCAAGTAGCATTCAATATACAACAAAATACCTAAACTTGAAATTTAAAGATTAAACTATCAAAAAATTAAGTGTCGTAAAGTATATTTAAAATTTCCAGAAAAAAATCCTTTTAAAATCAAGGGCAGATAATTAGACTGAATTTGATAGGACAATTTGTGTTTTGAGATTTTTCAAGAAAATAAGGCTGTGACCCCCCCATCTTTATTTGATATTTCGGAAGTATTAATGAAAAGCAATTCTCTCATCGAATTTTAGCCAATACTATCGTTTAATGTTTCCTCGATAAGGAAAAATTAAGTTTCCAGATTCCTCTATTTTAAAAATATAAAAATAACCCCAATTTTGTTAATTTCAATGTATTTTAACGAAAAAACAAGATCCGTGACCCCCAGTTTTAGTATTGAAATTTGAAAGTACATTGACCCAGAAGTCTTTTACTGAAATTTATGAAAAATCTATAGTTGAACATTTAGACACCCCAGCTACCTTAAACTAAAACTAACTTGACTTAACCATGGTATTACCATTTAAAACAACTTACACATTGTTTGAATTTCCATATTCAATTTTAAAAGAATTTGAGAGATTGTTTCCAGACTGCATTCTATGGCATTGTCAATGTGTTCTCCTCCTGAATGTGTATGAAATACTAGCCTTGTGATGTTAAGCAACTGACAATCAAATGAGTGCATGTTACACTGAATTAGACAAATACAAAATTGATAAATGCAAAAAATATCATTGGTGTGATTTTAAGGTATTTACAAAAGAAACTGGGATACCATTACAATTTAAACCATTACATACATGTATCTTCCACACTATGATAAAGATATTATGTTCTGTAAAATCTTACTTTCTGAATTTCCTAACGGCATGATAGGTGTACTTTGGCTATCCTGCTGATGATCTAAAAAATAATAAAATCATTAGATTTATATCATGCATATCAGTTGTAAAAACTTTTAATACCTGAGAGTTCCCTGTCTGATAAAGAAAAAAAGAATAAATCCCTGACTTCAGATATTAATATTAAGAAAGAATAATGATTTTTAATCAAAATTATTTGAAGTTTAACAATCAGTTAAGGTAGGTCGGGTGTCTTTTTCTGAGCACCCCTTTTGGTCATGTTGCAAAAAAAAAAAAAATATTTTACTAAGTATCATTCAATATACAACAGAAACATCTAAAACTTGAAATTTAAAAATTAAACTATAAAAAAAATGAATGTTGTAAAGTGTATTTAAAATTTTCAGAAAATAATCCTTTTAAAATCAAGGGCAGATAATTATATTGAACTTGATAGGACAATTTTTTTTTTTTTTTTTGTATTTTTCAAGGAAATAAGGCCTGTAACCCCCTATTTTTATTTGATATTTCGGAAGTATTTATGAAAAGCAATTCTTTCATTGAATTTTAACCAATTCTATAGATTACTGTTTCCTCAATAAGGAAAAATTAAGTTTCCCCCATATAACCCATATAAAATAAATCTGATTTCGTTAATATCTGTTTTTTTTAAAGAAAAAACAAGGTCTGTGACCCCTAGTTTTTATCTTGAAATTTGAAAGTATAATAGTATATCAACCTAGAAGTCTTTTACAGAAATTTAAGAAAAATCTATCGTCGAAGATTTAGACACCCCAGCTACCTTAAATATGCAGCAATGACATAACAGTAAAACCAACAAGTTTTCATATTCAATCTTTTTTTTAAATCTGAATTTCCCGAGCATAGTTCCTCAATTGATTGTTTTGGGTGGTGGGTCAGAAGGAACTTAATATTAAATTTGGATGGCTGGTGATTGTTTAAGAAAAATACCCTTACCAATAAATTAAAACTTCATGTATGGTCAAATTAAGTGCATCCCAACCCCAAATACATTCATTTCTGGGCATTTCTGACTTTTGTCTATTGCACTAATTTATTTTGTTCTCCTGAATGTGCATGAAATACTAACCTTGTGATGTTTAGCAACTGACAATCAATCAATCTTGAGTGCATGTTACACTGAATTAGACAAATTAGACAAATACAAAATTAATAAATGCAGAATATATCATTGGTGTGATTTTAAGGTATTTACAGAAAAAACTGGGATACCATTACAATCTAAACCATTACATACATGTATCTTCCACACTATGATAAAGATATTATGTTCTGTAAAATCTTACTTTCTGAATTTCCTAACGGCATGATAGGTGTACTTTGGCTATCCTGCTGATGATCTAAAAAATAATAAAATCATTAGATTTATATCATGCATATCAGTTGTAAAAACTTTTAATACCTGAGAGTTCCCTGACTTATAAAGAAAAAAGAATAAATCCCTGACTTCAGAAATTAATATTAAGAAAAAACAATAATGATTTTTAATCAAAATTATTTTAAGTTTATCAATCAGTTTGTGGTGGGTCAGAAGGAACTTAATATAAAATTTGGATAGATGGTGGATGTTTTAGAAAAATTGCCTGAACAATAATTTAAAACGATATTAAAGCCTTATATGTTCTGTAAAATCTTACTTTCTGAATTTCCTAATGGCATGATAGGTGTACTTTGGCTATCCTGCTGATGATCTAAAAAATAATAAAATCATTAGATTTATATCATGCATATCAGTTGTAAAAACTTTTAATACCTGAGAGTTCCCTGACTTATAACGAAAAAAGAATAAATCCCTGACTTCAGACATTAATATTAAGAAAAAACAATAATGATTTTTAATCAAAATTATTTTAAGTTTATCAATCAGCTTGTGGTGGGTCTGAAGGAACTTAATATTAAATTTGGATAGATGGTGGATGTTTTAGAAAAATTGCCTGAACAATAAATTAAAACGATATTAAAGCCTTATATGTTCTGTAAAATCTTACTTTCTGAATTTCCTAATGGCATGATAGGTGTACTTTGGCTATCCTGCTGATGATCTAAAAAATAATAAAATCATCAGATTTATTTCATGCATTTCAGCTGTGAACACATTTATATATATATTTTTTTATTTCCTATCAAATATTACTTAGGGCTATTCCAGAAAAAATACATGGGGGGTTGGAAGGCACTTTAATTATTTTTGTATGGGTGGGGGCATGCAAAGTAAAATGCAATTATATGATGGCCATAAAAAAAGTGCCTTCCAACCTAACATAACTCTTTTGGTTGTTATATTGATCTACAAATCGAATAACAAATCAATTATAATGTGTGTCACCTCCATTCACTTGAAACATGTATGTAAATCTATCCCTGGATGTGGAGCTGCAATCAATCCTAAAATTTTGATTCAAAGCACAGTATCTATAATTTGTCTTTTGTACTCAATAAACAATGCTAAGGTTTGCTCAATTTAAAATAGAAATTCCACTGATTCAACTAAAAGTGTAAAACAAATGCAGGTCAAAAGGAAGTAGAGAATTTCACTTAATAAGTACTGATGCATTTGGAGTCGAAGCTTTTTTCAGTTTTTTTCTTTTTGAAACATTCATTTCCTCTTCATCTATGTAGACAATAAAAAAGAAATTGTGTTAATACAGGTCTATGATAACTATACAAATACTCTTCACTTATGAAATTATATGTACAAACTGCATGAGGACAGTCTTAGGCTTTTTACATTGAATTAAATTGTTGACACAGATATGTCATGTATGTCTCATAGATGTTCAATTAAATTTCAAAGAGACATAACTCTTGTAACAAGAATAGATCAGAGCTCATTTTCAAACTCACCCAAGACATTACGAATATAAACCTATGATATAAATTTCATTACAAGAAAAGTAGGTGTGAGAGTGCTTACAATGCAAATTTCTATATATTAACTGATTTTTCCAAGGGGAATGACTCTTTTAAAAATAGTTAATTGGCACTGATTTTCGAACTTGTAACACAATGGATAACCTACCAAATTTTACAAACCCTTTTGTTTTGAAATATAGTTAAACTAATTATGCTCAGATTGGACATTTGTAACTGAAAAAAGTATTAAAAAATATAATATAATTTACCATGTTTAAAAAATGCAAGGCATGCACATACATACTTCTTAAATCTTTATTCTTACCATCTGCATCACTTTTGGAATCTTGTTTTTCAAAGTTTTGTTGTTTGGTCTTTGACCTTGTCCCATTTTTTCATTGTCGTCACTTGACAAGTTTGATGTGTATTGCGCATCCCTGCTCATCTGGATTGCACTTTCATATGTATCTGAAAAATATGGTGGTGGATATTGTACAGAAATGAACAGTAAAACAGAAGTAATTGCTTAACTGCAAAACAAGGCTGTTCAAGAATTTTATGTTTGACAAGGGGTGACACTGACTTAATTATTAATTTGATGTTTCAAGGTCAATTAGAAAGATTGTCTTAAAAAATTATTTGAATATTATGAATTTTGTCTATTTGAAAGATGCAGTCCAATTTTATGCTTCACAGATCAAAATGAAAAATTCATAGAACTTAAAGAACTATTGAAAGTACTTATCCATCATGTTCATCCTATTCACTGCTTACTTAGTGTTGTAGAAGTTTTTTCGGAAGACATGAATATTTTATATGTATGTACAATAATTGGCTTATTCCTATGCATAACTTCAGATTTTTTGTGTTGAAGAAAAAATGTCGTTGATTTTTAAATTAACTAAGGCCAAAACAAAATATAGGTGTGTTTCCTGTCAGCTACCCTATTTAGACAAGAGTGCACACGCTGAAATGTCTCGCCTGTTACTAACCATGATTGGTTTTATGTTGATAGTCCTAAAGATAAAGTTTTACTACAAATATCACATAAACTTAAAATTATCAATGATCCATGAAAATGAGGTCAAGGTCATATAAACCAAGGCAGACATACATGTACACTTTACAATCATTCCATGCATCAAATATAGTTGACCTTATTGCTTATAGTATCTAAGAAGCAAACTTAAACAGGAAAACTTAACACTGACCAATGAACCATGAAAATGAGGTCAAGGTCAAATGAAACCTGCCAGTCAGACATGTACACCTTACAATCATTCCATACACCCAATATAGTTGACCTATTGCTTATAGTATTAGAAAAACAGACCAAAACACAAAAACTTAACATTGACCAATGAACCATGAAAATGAGGTCAAGGACAAATGACACCTGCCAGACAGACATGTACACCTTACAATCATTCCATACACCAAATATAGTTGACCTATGTCTTATAGTATTAGAAAAACAGACCAAAACACAAAAACTTAACATTGACCAATGAACCATGAAAATGAGGTCAAGGACAAATGACACCCGCCAGACAGACATGTACACCTTACAATCATTCCATACACCAAATATAGTTGACCTATGGCTTATAGTATTAGAAAAACAGACCAAAACACAAAAACTTAACATTGACCAATGAACCGTGAAAATGAGGTCAAGGTCAGATGAAACCTGCCAGACTGACATGTATCCCTTACAATCATTCCATACACCACATATAGCTGACCTACTGCTTGTAGTATCTGAGAAACGGACCTAATCACGTAACGTAGAAAATTAGGGGTAAGCACGCAAAATTGTAATGGCACTACATGGATAAAACCAGGGGAATTCTGAATATCTGACAAAAAGTCATAAACAAGATCAGCGAACATCCTATAAGCATTTGACCCTTATGTTCTATTTTTACCCATAGTGGGCATACTTGCTGACTGACAGGAATAAAAAACAATAATTTATACTAGGTACCCTGAGGATCATTCAGTCCAAGTTTAGTTAAAATCAAAGGAGATTTTTTTTTAATCACAAAGGACGCCAAGTGATGGCATATGATCACATGACCTTTTTAATTTACCTAGTTGAGTCAAGGATTTGTCTGACTATACAGATCCTTGGTTGAGCTATAACAAACAAAAGCTAATAAAAGTACTAAATGAAGTATTATGTATAAATGGTTGCACTCTGTGAAATTTATGTTATTTCAGGAAAATCATATCACTTTCAGTCAAGGGTCTATAAAAAAGGGGAAAAATTACACTCTATGATATCACCCTATATTTCTTTAGCAGATGCCTAAAGAAAAAGATATCAATCAAAATAGTGCTACTTAAAAAATTACATGTACTTGTAAGAAAATTTTTGTAGTTCTCAGCATAAAAAGAGATTATTTAAAGCTTACTTAATTAACATGCATATACAAGTAAAATCTACATGAAAAAAATATATAAGGATTATTCCTTGACTGACAGAATACAACCATTTTAACATTTGTGTTGAAAATTTTATATACATTGTTTCAACTTAAAATAGTTAACCATTTACATAATTTGCAGCCAGAAAACGTACAACAAAATAATGATGGAACTATGTACTCTAATACAATGCAATTTTAATTATATATAGCTAATAACTTTGCAAAGCAAGCAATGTGTACAATAGTCCATTGCTTGCATATAATTAGAATTTTTGATAAAGACAGTTTTCAAATTTCCAAAAACTTATATATAAATAATAAATGTTTACTTTTACTTGAATACTTTATTTAATAACAGTTAAATCTTTTTTTGTTCACTGTAAATTTGATACAATTACAAACATAATTATTTGTTTTTAGTGTACACGTTTTTCTTAATACTGCAGACCCAAATTTAGCAGAGTAGATCAATCTGCATCTCATTATTTTTTAATATATATATATACAGATATTTTCAGAAATTCTGGTGTACACATGGCCATATTTCTTAAGAACTTTAATCCTAACCCTTACCGAGCTATACCTGACCCTACTGCTAAAGTTTCTCAAGTTAATGAAGGTACTGGATTCTTGTGTTGTGGGCACATAAATATATATATACATATATTAATTCATGTCTGGTTGTGGGAGGTTTGGACTGAAAGTTTGAAATATCAGTATTAAATTTCCAATTTATATTTGATTGATTTGGACTGACTCTTTTCAAGAACTCTAAATTAATTGGGTGAGTTTACTTTTGTCAGTTTTGTGTCAGTTCAAGTTGTGACTTCTTGGAATTCTTTTAATTTTTGATCTGATGCCTTAGGCTTAATTTTAATTTCTGTGAATGACTTGGGGAATATTAAATATCAAATTAAAATATAAAATACCCTCCGCAGCAGAGTTCTTGAAATCTTTTTTTCCCTGATTGTCCTTGAAGAATTAAAATCTGATGGTCCTCACTATTATTTCTATTGCAAAATACAAAAATTGTGTTGGTTCTTGAATAATTTTGTTGGTCAAAGCCTTGGACCACCACTTTTTGAGAACTCTGCCACAGGCGTCATTATCATCTTCACTAGTCTAGTCCAAATAATTATGATGTCTTGAAAGGCTATTTAACATTTTTTGCTGTGACGGGGACGGCTCACAGCAAAAAATTAAAATAGCCTTTCAAGACGTACGTCATAATTATTTGGACTACTTTACTAGGGTTGGGACCACCCCAAGTTAAAAGAACCGAAGGCCATTATTTCCTTATGACAAATTATGTATGGCACAGGAACTGGATCTGTATGAAATTGTTTGTAAATTGTAGAACCCCCTTCCGTCCCCCTGAAAATCTGACGTCAGAAATTTGCAAAAAAGTTTTCGTGGATACGGAAAAAGCACTTCCTTACCAAAAGTGGTTAATTAAAACACACACACGCACATATACATCCGTCTTCCTGCTTACCTTGGTGTGTTATTTGATATGCTGAGGCTGTATAAGATAGTTCTAAGAGCGGGAAATATTGAAAGAAAGCAAAGCTATAAGTTCTAAAATATTTTTTTTCAAAAACTAACAAAATTTTTTATTTTTTTATAAATATATAAACGCTATTTGCTTTTATTTAAACATATCGTTATTAGTTGTTGAAAATAAGTTTAGAATCTATAGTTCGAAACTAAAAACCGCGTAAAATCCGTCTTTACCCACGTGACTATATCATA